ACTTCCTCAATACTTTCAAACTCTTTTCAAGTAACTTTGGCTTGTGGAGCAGAGAAGAGTTGCTTTAGTTTCATTAAGGAGCGGTTCTTTGATGTAACACACGATTACCTTGAAACTCATTGTTCTCCATCATTGTTCCTTGAAATGCATTGTTTCTCCAACAGTGGTTCTCCGTGTATTCAATCAGAATGAATAAGATCATCTCCAACCCACCTCTATTTTCATTTCTATATTTTCTCTTAAATCAGAGAATCTTTATTATAGAGGTGGACTTGATCCAATGTATACCTCTATAATAGAGTTCCTCTATTTCTAGGGAAAATATAGAGATATGTTATTTTCACCTCTAAATATAGAGGAAAAAAGTAACATTCTTCTATATTTTCCTCTAAAATAGAAGAACTCTATAATATAGGCATACATTAGAGCAAATCCACATATCTATTTTAGAGGAAAATATAGAGGCATACATTGGAGATGTTCTAAGAACTCGAGCTACTCATCGTCGTTTTCCTTTAAGTTTATGTACTCTTCGTCACTGTCTCTCTCACGACTTTGTCTCTGCTTCGTCTCCACTCTTTCTCTCTCTCAAGCTTACTGTGTTTCGTTGTTCTCTCTTTATCTCGCCTATTGTGCTTTGTCTCTCTCTCTCTCTCTCTCTCTCACTCTCTCTCTCTCTCTCTCTCTCTCTCTGAAATTTTTGTCGTCGTCGTAAGAAGAGAGACATAATTTCGTTTTTTAGCTCAAATTGATTTGGAATTTTTTTAAGTCGGATCGGGTTGTGTCGACTTTTTAATTAGGCAAACACTATTAACTAAATGCGATTTACATATTTTAATTGTGATTTCAAATTTGGATTAAAAAGGGAGATCTGAACATAAGTAGGAAGACTGGGAGGAGATATGAAGAGAAGTTATAAATTTGTGGGGTTTGGTTATGAAGTCATAAGTATGGGTGGGAATAGAGAGGACCGGTATATTTACAAAGGATTCTATGCAGTCAACCCAAGAATTAACCCAATTAAAGAGATAGAAGGCAAGTACGTGAACAGTATTCAATATGATCTGCTAATTGATAAGCAACTTGAGATACCATCATATTATTCTCTAGCAAGTGTTTTTTTCTTAGTAGAAGGAAATTAAACTCTGGATGTATACATCTACTTTTAAAAAGGTATTTCAGTATATAGAATTTTCGAAGTTTGTTTGAAAATCAAATGGAGAACATAAGTATATAATATCCAAGTTGGTTATGAGGATCCGGTTGGTAACTTATCCGGCTTATTCCGGACACAAATAAACAAGAATAAAAGAAAACTGATAATGATGTATGGTTTGTAAAGTTCAAAAAAATATAATGTATGGTTTGTGAAAATATAGATATATAAATAACTTAATACTTATATATATATATATATATATATATATATATATATATATATTCGTCACAGAAATGACGAACCATCACACAAATTGGTCTTAAATAAATAGAGTACGTAAAATAATTAAACTTTAACTACGTAAATTAATTCTGAAGCCTAAATATGTGGATTTGACTACAGTTGATTGGAATTTGACCGATTAGTTGTATTATAAGTTACATTGAATAACTAATGCGTCGTATTCATAGAATGATGCTGGTTTACTCTACATTTCATTAGAAAACATAAAACTGTTTCAAAAAGTAAATATATGATGTTCGATGCAAGAACATATTCCATATGAAGCATCAACTTTCCTTTTTAGGTAACCAATTATTTCGAAAGCAGGTGCTACATAGAGACAGAATTTGCAAGTTGATAATTTTGCAACTTGTTTGTATTAATTATGTCAACATCATCGTATTACATTAGATATTAATTTCAATGATAACCAAGCGATATACTATTAATACAAATAATAATATTATTTAGATTGTTTCGATTTGTAATTTATAACATTTCAATATTTTTAATGAAATATACCTTTTTGATTTTTTTTTTGAAAATATACCTTTTTGAATATGTGCAACAAAACAAGACTCAACAAAACATATTAAAATATGAAAATTTCAAGAACACATCAAATTTAACTTGAAATATCTATTGAAAATTGAACATTAGAAACAAAAAAAATTGAACATAGGTTTAACAGTAGTTTGAACTTTGAAATGCTCATGTTTGACCCATTTAGCTTGTTTTAGGTATGTCAAAAATAATTAATGAAGATGATTGGTTGAGAAGATGATTTTAGCTTTAATTTTTTATGTAAAGCCTTGAAAATCACAAATCATGTTTTATATCTAAACTATTAAAACAAAAGTAAATTTAATACTTAATCCTGAATTTTCACAGTAATTATCAATCCTTGCCACTAATCAAAACACTATAATTTCATATATTAACTTATCCAATTTTGACAGAATTCACGACTCATTTCTCCACCATAACTATCGTATAATAATAGATCCACACGTACGAACTTAGGATCTCATCCTAACTGCACAAAATTAAACTATATCAACATATTTCTCCGTAAAACGAAAGATCGAAACTGATTCCCCTTAAAGCTTGAAAGACAAACTAATACCAATAAATGGCGGTTTAAAGTAGGTTTAGTATTCTTTGTTTTAAAACTAAACAAGTGGCTAACCTAAGTAAACTTAATATGACTCGGCCAGTGGTTTCAATCGAATTTCCAAATTCATTACTCTTCTTTTCTGGATTTCTCTTTTTGTTTTGTTTTCCGATTTTTTTTAAAAAAGTTTAGGGTTCCAAAAAGGGTATTAAGGAAGATTAATAGAGATTCAGGTCGGGTTATAATCACTTCGTCTGGGTCAGATTGTACTAGTATCACCTGAAACCATTGGGTTTAATATCGGTTAACGTTATAAACCACTAAAACCAAACTCAATCTTTGTTTGTGTGGAAGCGAGTTTCGATCTTTTGTTTTGGAGAGAATTAGATTGATATAATATAATTGTGTGCAGTTGGAACAAGATCTAAAGTCCGTGTTGATATGTTACTATACAATAGTTATGGTGTGGAAATATGTCATTTACCCATTTTCACAAGCCCAAATACTAACAAAACCAAATTTCTAATAATCTTTTTAAACTATTAATTTTAACCAGTCTAAATATTATATTCCTTAAAACCAACTCCTGCTAACCTATAACAAACCAAACAATTAATTAGAAGTTTCAAACAAAACATAAAACGATTTTAATATAGACAATGTCAATTCAATAATTTCTTAAACGTAATCTAATCACTATAAAGTACATAAATTCCAAATGATATAGTCAAATTATCAATCTATATTGGTTTTGATTATGCATACCGGTTTTGACCTTCATTTATAATGTATCTTTTGTTTTTATTTATGTGGTAAAAATCAATATAAACACATATATGAAATTAAAAGATAGATCTAGTTTAAAATTAATATAATATATTTTTTAAAAAAATAGATATTAATACATAGTTACAAGTTTTTGTGATATACCTACATAAATGAAATATTTTGTGGTTATTCAAAATAATTTTAAATATATAACACAATACAAAAACAAAATATGTGGTATCAACAATAACTAAAGTAGCACAAAATGAAACTATTAAATGAAACCATCGAAATTGTTTCCTTTTAAAATGTAGCTATCATAAACAAACATCCGTACAATAACAAAAAAAAAAATCATATCGAACAATACACACTCATGTCATACTTAAATAACATATGAAATTCTAGCGCTATAAGTTTGAACAATTATACTTAACAAATTTTAAAAACTAAATATATATATATATATATATATGAAAAACAAACATCCGCGCAGGCACGTAGGTGAAAAACTAATTGGTTTTTAGAACTACAAGCAATTTTTAAAAAGAGTATTGGCACTCTTTTAAAAAAGAAAAATGGTACGAAAATCTTATTTTCTAAAGTCCTATCTTTTTAGTTGTAGAAATATATTGATCTAGCAATAAATTTTAAAAATATATCTCTGAAAGTTAAATAAAAAAATATTACGGACTAAATTTTAAGTAGATCGCATTTCAACAGTTACATGCCAACAATCACTACAACCTCTAGAAAAGGAAAAATAGGATGATAATTTAGTTCAAATTTCTATTTTTTAAGAGGATTTTCTCATTGTCAAATGATTTTAGAATCTACAACCTTCATTTAAGTTCTAATGTATTGATCATATCATATACATGATAATATTTTATAAATTCTAATGTATTGATCATATCAAATACCTCCATGATAATAGTTTATAAAACTATTTTCAGTTTCAAACAACATAAAACTCCTTTTAAAACGTTCAACTTATTATTGCAAAAATTAGTAAATCATTCTCAAAAAAAATCTGTAAAGAAACTAGATATGCACTATAAATTTAACGTTGATGTCTGTTTAATCAACTGATCACTGGACATACGAAAGCTAATATACCAGACAAACTTACATATTATGTATATTTGAATTGTGTTTCTCTAAGCTATTAATCGTATATATACACCCAATAGACAATACCAACATGACAAGAGAGGATCTTGACTGCTGTCAATGCTTCGGACCATTAATATATTAATCTTGCACAATATATAATTAAGATCAATGTAAATGTTTGGTAGTCCACTAATTCTAAGTTGTTCCATTAACTACATCATTATACCGAAGAATCTTCTTTCAAGGGTCAAATATTTCTCCAAAGGTGATAGAAATATTTAAACTTTTTACATATTCACACAAAGGCAACTGAAAACAGTTTCCATATTTATAAAAGTAAAACAATGAAAAGCTACAACACCACTATCACTAAGTGACTAGTTAAACCACTATTTTATTCTCCTAAAATAAATCCATATTTTGTAATTATTATTATTGTTTTATAGAGAACTTGAATTGTTTATTCTGGTGCAGTACTATACAATCGAGTCATATATCGTATAGTTTTTGTTCTTGATGTAAGTGAGAATCGGAAATAAATATCCATTATATGACTCGATTAGATTCCATTCCATATTAAATTAAGTCGGAAAATATAATATTCATCTCTTCTTTCTGCAGACAGATATGCTTTCACCAGAAGGAAGTTGTTGTGTATTGCATTTGTCGTTGAGGCTGAGACTGACATTCCACAAAGTTACTCATAAAAGCTTTTTCTTCCTCATGCAACCCATCCAAATTCTGCCACAAGTTTATAAGAAATAATTCTTAGATTACTAAACTTAAGCTCAATTCAAATACAACCTTTATGTAAATAAAATTAATGTTGTAAAGGGTTATGTAGCTTGGTAATTAGATAATTACCCAAAGGTCGTCGTCTTCTTGTATAGTGAAAGAAGAAGCAATCTTGGGGTTCTCTAAAATATCGTCGTTACGTGCAAACCTGCCACGTACTCTCGGTCTGTTGTCCGCCAATGTTTTCCGGCATGCATACTTCAAAAAACATTTCATTAAAAAAAAACTAATTATGACCATGCAATGATGCAACTAAAAATATATCATGATCTGAAATGTGAAATGTGAAAGCGTTTAGTTTGAGTATCGTTTCAAATAAAATTCACTATGATGATATTAAAAGCCACATATTACATTTTAAATGAGTAAATTTTCAAATTATACATAGATTTTCAAATTAATTATAATTAATCAATCAAACATATATATTTCATTACCATACTAGATTTTTTTTTTTTTTGTTAAAAAGCTCAATATACTAGATATGAAGCTTATAAACTGATGTTTTCTTTTATATTCAAAATGCAACTTGTTAAGAAATTTCAACATGTTAGATTTGATTGAATCAAGATCACAATTGGGATTTTTTCTCCATTATACTAAAAATAGAGTTTTAACAAAAAAACATATATATTTTATTTACGTGACAAAATATTATGTCTAGGCGGCATGAACAGTTATTATTATTACCTTAATGGTTTTGGTGAAGTTTCTTTGCGTTCGTTTAGCTTTATACTTTGAAATCTTCTCTTGACGTTCTTGGGCACTGTAACGCCCCACCTTCAAACTCTGATCTTCGCCGGAAAACGCCGTCGTCCATGAGGTCTCCACACCTAAAGGACTCGAGTATGATCGTGGTCCCGTAGTATCCATTCTCAGATTCTTTAAAAGTACACAAAAAGTTAGTCTCTTCGATTTTAGAAGTGAAGTTACAGAGGATCAAACTAGTAAAATGATACCTGCAAATCTCCAGTGCTGTACACACGTCGCATGTGATCGGAGAGGAAGGAGTTTTCCGGCGAGCTTAAGAGATTCTGATTTGGAAAATTCGATGAATCTTCCATGGCTGAAGAGTTAAACAGAGGATGCTCTGTTTTGACGGCGTCGAAGCTTTCGAAACTGGCGAAAGTGTTAGTGTGGGAGAGGTTAAGCGTTTGGAGCTGAGAGAGTGGAGGAGAAGAAGAGAGGAGATGATGAGTCGTAGGGGTAAAATTGTCAAAGAAATTAAGAGAGGGATCATCTATTGGATTAAGATAAGGATTGTTAAAGAAGAGATCTGTTGTTGTTGTGTCGGAAGAAAACATATCTGGTTCAGTACTACTTGAATGGTGGCAGATTGAGGAAGAAGATGAAGACCCATCAAAGATATAAAGCTCAGCCATTCTTTTTTTTTCTTAACAAATTCTAGATTTTTCAGTGAAGAAGAAGAAGACAGCAAAACACTTCAATCTTTTGGGTTATGTTCTGTCTTCTGTTTTTGGTTTGTTTCTGTAATTGAATTGACCAAATGAAACGGTTACAGAGGAGAGCACAAGTGACACTCGTGATCTTTGTTTTTGAAAAATCACCAGAATCCAAAAATGGCAAAAAGAAAAAATTAATGTAAATTTGGACTTTATTCCGAGAAAGTGTTTTTCTTTCTTTCTTGGTTTAGTTTCTGGTTTCAGACCCGATACATGACAGGTCCAGTTTATTTGGTCTGCTGGTTTATATAGCGGACAAAAATGTGACTTTGACAAATAAGCCCTCGTTGTTTAATATTTTCTAGATTAATCCGTCTATATTTTCTTTTTACACAAAAGGAATGCAATGAGAAGGTGAAAACCTTTCTTCTAAAAATCAGCCGCGTAGACGCTAGACGACCCTCTTCCGTCCCGATTTATGCCAAATTATCGTAGAAAATTGGTCGTCCGATTTTAGCCCGTCTAGACCGCTTAGCCGTCTAGACGGCCGTCTAATCTGTTTTTTTTAAATAATAGTTTTTATTAATTTATTTGTTTTAAAATTTAATAAATTAATTTTGATGAAATTATATCATATTAACTTTGTATATTCTATTTGTGTGTGTTTATAAGATTCTAAACATGAAAATATATTAATATTATACACAATTAAAGATTAATATATCTTATAACATATCAAATAGTCTAAATAGTCTAAAAATTATGTCCCGTATAATTCCCGCTTAATCCCCGATTTTCTCTATAGGCGCTAGGCCCAATCAAACCGCCCGACTAGCACCTAACGCATTCTCGAACATTGGTGAAAACCCATCCACATGCATCAGTGTCATGAGACTTTCTCGTTGTGCTATTCTCAACTTGTCATATATGTATATTGGATTGATTAATAGAGTAGGATGGTACTTCATGAACAAAATGAGATGTTACATGCATGTTTAGAGCTCAAAATGTTATATGAGCTTTTTTGCACTTCACACGGAAATAGATGGTTTCTCTATTCTATCAAAACCGAAGTACAAAATAATTTTTATCAATTTTAACTGATTTTCTATAGATTTTTATATCAATATCTATATAATTAAAACTGAAGTACATTATGATACTGTTTGGAAATAATGATATCAGGATAAATGAGAAATTTTTTGAAACATAGATAACAGATTAATTATTTCTTTTTATTTGCAAATTTAGTCATTGTATTTATAATAAATTCAATACTTTTTGTTGTATTTCTTTTTATTTACAGATTCTAAAATTACATTTAAAATCAATTTAAATTAATGAATTACAATGTTTTTTTTTGTGGTGAAAATAAATATACAAACTGGAATATAGTATATATTATATTAAATAATTTTTAAATATAATATTATCTTATTTTAGTCAAAGATATAATTTTGGGAGTTCAATTTTCAAGAAAACAAAAAATCCTAAAATTATGATAATTCATAGAAAACTAATGCAAAAGATTAATTTTCAGTATGTTGTTTCTTTTTAAAATAATTTAACAAAGAAAAAACATGTTAATATATGAATAGTACAACTACACCAAATTGCATCAAGTTATAAAATTTATAATTATTATATACAAATAATTAAACATTTATATTATAAAATAATATATTCTATTCTATATGTAAATTACAAAAACATGAAATATAAAATGTGTTTATAAAACCAACGGTTAATGAATTGACGTTGAACACAAGTAAAATCAAACACCTGCACGGGAGTGCGAATCAAATTCTAATGTTCTGTTAAAACTAAATTACAAAATAATACTTACCAACATATAGACTACAGATTTTCCTTCCAGTTTTAATCACTTCATATATTATCTTTGTAAATAATTTGACATCATTTATTATATTTTTACATTTTTTTCAATCTTTTAAATTACTTTATTAATTATTTTTACTATAATATTTCGACATTATTTATTTACATATTAACCATAACATCTTGACATGTTTGATTGAAACTGATTTATTTGTGACAAGAATTCAAAATGGTTAATGAATAGTTTTTTATTTGTTTACATATTTAGTTAGGTATAGAAATTCAGGTACTCGTTCATGTATGAATTGTTTCTTTTGAGTATCTTTTTTTTTTTTTGAAATTAAGTCTCATGTTGGGTATTAAAAGTTTTTGGATGAGTTTTGAGTTGGGTCAACCCAAGTCCACATAGATTCGGTTTTGATGTATACAATATCTAAAACTAATATATCTTGAATAAGTTCGAATACTTGTACTAAAAATAACTGCGTCAACCGATTCAGTTTAGGTATTTTGAATTAAAACTAAAAATAACCTAAAAATCACTTAATAACCAAAAGTTATTGTATTACTAATTTGATTCAGATTCGATTATGATATATAAGAACTTAAAAAAATTCAATTAATTATATAATGATACATATAAAATATATAATACTAATTATGAAAAAAAATATCAGTTTATTAAAATGTAAAATTAACACCCGCACAGACATGCATGTCCTTCTCTAATATTAGATTATGTATAAAACAAGAAAATAATACGCTCGGTTATGTCTAAGATAGATTATACAAACTTGTTTAAAATCTCTTATATATTAAAGGATAAATATTTAAAAACTTATAACTTGTAGAGGGTACTATTAAAAAAAATGCCCTGCTGAGTTGTCACATAATTGAAATGCTAATTTTGTTTACTTGGTGGCTTGAGAATCAATTGAGAATTTTGTTATTTCAAAATTAAATTGCTAGGGAATGTTATATTATATAGTATGTCTATTATGAACCATTCATTTATCAAAATGAAATTTATTATATATTTTTTCCTTATATAAAATTACGAAATTACCTAATGTGATTATGATATATATGACAATTAATAAATTTAAATTATAATGATTTGCAATACTCTGTACACTTTCTATCATTTTTTAATTATTTCTTATTAAAATAAATTATATTAATCATATAATCAAAATTTAGATTTTTTGTATATGTTGTATTTTGAAATTTTCAAAATAAGTATAAATTACTAAAATTGTTAAAAGTGTTACATAAACTTTGGTGATAAATGTTTATTTTTTTTTCTATAATAAGATACAATGATTGAACAAGAGGGTCATTTGATTTATATGCACATGCAAATTTATTATAGAATAGTATTAATAACTGATTTCTTAGTTATTTACTATACAATAATTATTTTATTATTTTATAATATGCAGAAAAACATAAAATAAATATAAAATCTTTATTCTGCACAAGGCACATATCTTAACTTAAGTATATATTTTTTTAATAATTTTAAATCTTAAACATTTTATAAATCTCAGGCGAAAACAAAAGAACGAAATGAGAATAAACTCAAAATCAATATTTATATCAAGCAATAATCAAAATGAAAAAAAAACGACACCAAAAAGAGATAAGTACTGAAAATAGATAGGATTGACACGTGAACATAAATTTCTCATAACCATAATTAATTTTTAAATTGCTAAATAATGATATAAAACGGAGATGACACAGTTTAATTGTAACCAAATAGCAGACCAAAGATTCTTCAGCCTAAAGATTAGGTTTATATGCGATAAGTGATTTTTTGACCTAAAATATTTTAAAAATGAGATCGACTCTTGAGTCAACAAATTATGTAATCAACAAAAAATTCTTTTTTTTAAATGTGTAAGAGCCAAAAATATTAGTTCGGTCACGAATATAAATTTTTTTTCATATGATATTATTTAAATAATTTTCAATAAATTCACCTTGTGCAAAGGACAAGTGTAATTAAGGATTAGCTAAACTTTGCTTTTATTCTTAAAGATTGTTTTACAGATTTTTTTTCCATATCAAATTTTTTGATAGATTTAAGTCTTTAATTTTTCATATATATATATATATATATATATTAGTTTTGCATATTTTAGATGTTCAAGTTAATTCTCTAGCATAAACAGAACATAAACACAAGGTTATATGTTATCCAGATAAGTTATAATTTGTCACAAGATAACAGTTTTTCAGGATAATTGTTACCTAAGTTTACTTTTTTTGTGCACGTTACCTAAGTTTACTTTTATATATAAAGTTAGTGATAAAAATCTAAATTAACAAAATAATAAACTTCTTTGTTAGTATACACATTGGTTAGCACTGTTCTCAATAAATTATTGTAAATTTAAATGTAAGATATTCCAAAAATTTGTCGATAAATACATTACTAAATCAAATTATTCAGTGTCGAGAATCTATGATAGGAATTCTCTCTCTCTCTCATGTTTTTAATATACAGTCTACTTAAGAGTATTAGGCATGACATAAGCAAAAGTAAGAACTGATTGAAAACTTTTGAAGTCGTACTGCTACTACTAGAGAAACAAAGAGAATCTAATTCTACCACTGTTACGCTACCACCGCTGATGAAAAACTGTTTAAGTAAAAAATAATTGTACTAAGATATAATCTGGAATATACTTTTGAGATTAAAATTGTGAAGCAAGCTATCAAAATTTCATGGAACCTTTTTTATAGTGGTTTATGTTAATCTAATTAGTTGACAAAAACCGGTTGATATAAATAAATAAAAGTAAATAATCTATTCATTTGCACTATGTAAAAATATTTTAAAACTAAAATTATGAAGTAAATAATGTATTCATTTGCACTATGTAAAAATATTTAAAACTAAAATGATGATGATTGATGCATATATGCTACATTATCTGATCCCTCTCCGTCCCGATTTATGCCAAATCACTGTAAAAAATCGGTCGTCCAATTTTAGCTCGTCTAAACTGTCTAGCCACCCGCCTAATTGATTTTTTTATTTATTTTAGTTTTGTTTTTAATTTTTGTTTTTACTTTTTTATTTTTAATAATATTTTATCTATTTATTTGATCTAAAGTTTAATAAATGTAATTTATAATCATATTTTTGATAAAAATTAGAGTATATTAAATTTATATAGTCTATTTGTGTGTTTTATAAAGTTCTAAACATAAGAATATATTACTGTTATACACAATTAAAGATTAACATATTTTATAACATATCAAATTATTTAAAATTTTCATCATGTATACTTTTTGTGTAATCTTAGATTTTTTCTTTAGGTGTTAGATCCAATACTACCGCCCTACTAGCACTAGGGGCTGTTTTCGAACAGGGGTTAATTGTATGCTAATGGACCGAAATGTTTTTAGTCCACACAAATTATAGCCGTAGTAGAAAATAACTAAAGTGAAAAACTGTTTCAAGAGGCAAACAAAGTGGACACTTGTAACTCTTGAGTTCAATCTTCTCTCTTTCTCACCCTTTTGCGTGTGTCTATTGTGTGTGTGGCCACTAATGTAGTAAAAACAGAGTAACGTTGGTAGGGAAGAGCAGAAACATAGAAAGAGGGAGAGATCTATCCATGGCTGCTATAGCTAGTCTCCAAGCAATTCATCTCAAACTCGGGAGACGTGGCAGTATCCGATGTGGGATCGCAGAGCCGAGCGGAGAGCCAGCTCCTATAGGGCAGAAGACTAGATACAACGATGGCTTAGCTGAGAGAGTGTTCATGGGCCTGTTCGCAAGGAAGATGGACAAGTTTGGTGGCTCAAAGAAGAAGAATGAGGTGAAGGAGAAAGGGTTTTGGGATTACGACTACGAGAGCTTCGTTGAGGTTTCAAAGAGAGTGATGCAAGGAAGATCAAGGACGCAGCAGCAAGAGGTTGTGAGAGAGGTTCTTCTCTCCATGCTTCCTCCTGGCGCTCCTGAGCAGTTTAGAAAACTGTTCCCGCCGACGAAATGGGCGGCAGAGTTCAATGCAGCTCTTACAGTGCCTTTCTTTCATTGGTTGGTTGGTCCTTCTCAGGTCATAGAAGTGGAAGTGAATGGAGTGAAGCAGAGAAGTGGAGTTCGTATAAAGAAATGCAGGTAACTATTAAGTTCAAATTGTTTTTGACTTTTACTACTTGTTGTGGACATAGGCACGAGCAACTGAAATATTAGTTTATGATCTCCAAACTTTTCTGTGACAAAAAAAAAAGATCTCCAAAATTTTAAAACCTAATATACATAAACATAAAGCCTCGAAATTATTAAAAACATTTTTTATTAATATTCTTACTAAATTAATCATAGCCCCCAAAAGTCGTCACATACTTGCTTTTCTCCAAACATTGACTTGAAGGTATCTGGAGAACAGTGGGTGTGTAGGAATGTGTGTGAATATGTGCAAGATCCCAACACAAGATTTCTTCACCAATGAGTTTGGCCTCCCACTCACCATGAACCCAAGTAAGTAATCTCTTTCCTCCTCTTCTACAGTGTGGGGTTTGCTTACATAATTGCACATTTCTATCCACTTTCTGTTGTAGATTTTGATGATATGAGTTGCGAGATGATATATGGGCAAGCGCCTCCTGCCTTTGAGGAGGATCCAGCCACCAAACAACCTTGTTTAGCAGACATATGTACGTCTTGCAAAGTCTCAGATTGAATTAGATGTAGCTAGTATTGTAATTTAAACTAAACACATGATGATGTTGCCTTCCTGCATGCAGGTTCTATGTCCAACCCAAGCTCCCCAATCTGCCCTAAACTACAAGCATGAACAGCATTGGATCAACCATTTCCAAGAGATATACATTACCTATTTTTTTCAAAAACATACATACATAAAAGTCAACAATGTAAAGAGTTTGATACTAGTTAGTGTTCTGTGTTTCTGTTTTGGTTAAGTTGTGAAAGTTTACGATATACATACACTTGAGCTTATTCATGAAGGTTTTTTTGTGATTTAATTCCTCTAGCTAGGGTGTACATAGCTGAACAGGTGAAGCATTAATATTTGAATGGACCACACTTAAGGTACAAACAGAATGAAAAGAGTGTGATTGGGAGGTGATTCATTGAAAGCACATGGAAGTTGGTTGGCCCAACAAACAATCACAGACATTAAACTGTAATTGTTAGTTACCTAAAGAGTAAGACAGCCTTTGTTTCTGTCCACTTTTCTTACTCTCTAAAGATAGCAGCTAACTTTGAGGTCAAGAGAGAGATAGAAAGACGCAAGAAAGAATGATTAGAGCTGATAAACACATGTGATGAGTCTTTCACCTTTACAACACACTTCTATCTTTTAAAGTGATAATAGATTAACCAACTTTCTATTTCCTTTTTCCCTTTAATACTCAATACATTGTTAAAAAAAAAAAAGAGACATCTCACCACCCCCTTTTACAGCTAAAGCTTAGATATGAAGATGGAGAGAAGTCATGAAACGATGATGACCAGAATCCCCACTTCAGATCCTCACAATACCACTTCAGATATAATGGACTCCGTATGGAAACTTTATGACAACCCTTACTACTGTTGCTCACAGTCTCAACACCAACGCAAGTCTTTTATTTGGGATCTGAATTTCATAAGGGTCTTCATGGAATCTGAACTAGAGAAAGCTCGAGCCGAGATCAAGGGGTTGAAGGCAGAGCTGGACTACGAGAGAAAAGCTCGAAGACGGGCAGAGATGATGAACACGAGGCTGTCCAAAGATGTGGATGAGGAGAGAAAGGGTAGAGAAGCTGAGGAGATGCAATACAAGCGGCTCTTAAAGGAGAGATCATCTGAGAAAGCAGAGATGGTTAGGATGAGACAAGAAGTTGAGGAAGAGAGACAGATGCATAGGTTGGCAGATGTTTTGAGGGAAGAGAGAGTTCAGATGAAGCTGTCGGATGCAAGGCTTTTCTTGGAGGAGAAGCTATCTGAGTTAGAGGAATCTAACAAAGAAAGAGGCAAGGAGAGGAACATGATCATGAAAGCAAAGATACTGGAGAGAGCGAGTAGCACACCCGCAAGTATGAGGTGTGAGAATCCGCACATAAAGAGAGGGATCAAAGGGTTTGTGGAGTTCCCTAGAGTGATGAGAGCAATAAGATCAAAAAGTGAGAAATGGGGTTCGAAGATCGAGTGCCAAAAGGTTCAGCTCAAGACTCTGCTCAGACAAAAGACCACTCCAAGATGTGCTTCTATTCACTCATCTGCTTGATAATGTAAAAGCTTATATTCCCTCTCTTTTGTATCTGAATAATCGAACATCTAAGCCGGAAGCTGTACTGTTAAGAACACTCTTTGTTTGTACTAATATTCAGTGGATTTTGCAACATGAAGCTAATTAGACTTTTGATTTTTTTTTTTAATCTCCTCCATTTTTCATTTAACTTCAAATATTAATACTTACCATTTGAAATGTAAAGCATATATTATAGTTTAATTAGGTTCATGTTGAGAATCGATTTAGCAAATACTGAATAAACTAGATGATAGCCCGCGCGTATGCGCGGAGTAAAATTTTTATATTAATATTTATTCATTAAATGGTTTTTAACGTTTTGCAATACTACAATATTTATCGATTATAAAATTATGAATACAAATGTTGGTATCTTAAATTATCATAGGTCTAGACCTTTTGAGACTTCGTCGGTTTTGGTTTGATTGAGACGTATTCTCAGATTTTGATACTATTCTCATAAATCCTATTTGAATTTTACTAATTATCGGATTGGATTCGATTTGGTCTTCTCAATTCAGTTTTGATTGGATTGTAACCAATATCTAAAATCATCCCAAAAAATAATTTTTAAACATTAAAAGTTGACAAAAAATTCAAAATATTTAAATTATTAATAAATCTAATTTAAAATTAGTTAAATTATCTAAACAAACTAAAATATATTAAAAAAGCAAATAAAACAAACTACAAAAATCTTCGAATACTATAATATGTATCTACTAACCTCAAACCTTTTCATTGAAATTTTTAAATTAACATATTTATAATATGAACATCTACTAATGATATTTCATATTCGTACGATTTATGATAATTTCTATCTTGTTTGGAAAAAAAAAGTTAAACCATTGATCATAGAATTTTCAGTGTGCGATTTTGCTATTTTTAGTTATTTATGGTTGTTTTAAAAAATTTAAAATATAACCTATGAGAAAAAAATTAATTAATTTTTAATTATATATTTAATGTGATTGTTTAATTTATTTTAAAATTTTAAAATTAAAAAAAAAAGAGTACACAAAAATATGTATTATTCATAATCATTAAATACATATATATGTTAATCATATAAGGTAATTCCGTAACTTTTATTTAAGGAAAGAAAATATATTGTTTTATACCTAACAGAGTTGGTCCCTTAAAAAATGTCTATATATTATAGTCTTAAATGTAAGAAATTAAATGTTACATTATTTCACTTCTAGCAAAGTTGGTCCATTAAAAAATTAAGGCTGAGGAGCTCTGTGAGCTTGACACGTAAGCATGCTCTTTAAGGTTGTGCATTTATGAATGCTTCAGGATTAATATATAGGGGATTTGAACTTGCTTCCGTGGTTTCGGTATTGAATGATGCTGTGAAATAGAGACAGTTGTTCTCCCCCAAAAGTAAACCAATGAGATTCATAATCTGTCTTTTGAAGAACTTCTTGATCCTTCTTATTTGAATGATTGTTGTTGTTTCTCTGCAGAGTCGTGCCAAGGTTTATAGCTTTCCGAAGCAACAAAACTTAAATCATAAAAGCTTTTATATATATCTATATATATATATATATATAAATTATATGTATTGCTCAAAACCTAATAATAATACAAATTAATCTATACTATTATTTGCGAAGTGATTTTTCACAACCGAGTTCCTACGTTAAAAGTTAGAGTGGTTAATATCGTTTATACACTTAATGAAAATAATATATAAATTAAATACAAAATAAAAACGAATTTAAATTATTTTGATTAGATAATTAACTAAAATTAATAATAATCATAAGAATTATCCAAAACCTAAATAATATCTTTTTAAATATATATACTATTATTTGCGAAGTGAATTTTTGCAAGTTTCCACGTTAAAAGTTAGAGTGGTTAATATCGTTTATACCCCTAATGAAAATAATATATAAATTAAATACAAAATAAAAACGAATTTAAATTCTTTTGATTAGATAATTAACTAAAATTAATAATAATCATAAGAATTATCCAAAACCTAAATTATATCTTTTTAAATAAGATAATTCCGATATATATCGTGATGTTATCTGAAAATATATTTTGATGAAAAATTTAACAATTAAAAAAATAAAAAAATACATAAGTAAATATTAATCAAGTCAACTTCTTAATTTTCTATAATTGAAAAAATATTATTTGATTTTAAAATTATTTTTAATAGTGAACATAAATTACAAAAAAATATATGTAAGAATTGTTAAATGAAAGTATAATTATTAATTGTTCCAAAAAATAAAACACAATTAATACTTTATCATTTTAATCTTTCAATTAGTAAAAGATGTATTAATAGAATATTTTTGATATTTCGCAACGGAGTTCCCACGTTAAAAGTTAGAGTGGTTAATATTGTTTATACCCTTAATAAAAATAATATATAAATTACATACAAAATAAAAACGAATTTAAGTTATTTTGATTAGATAAGAAATTAAAATTAATAATAATCATAAGAATTATCCAAAATATAAATAATATATTTTTAAATAAGATAATTCCGATATATATTGTGATGTTATCTGAAAATATATTTTGATAAAAAAATTTAACAATTAAACAATAGAAAATACATAAGTAAATATTAATCAAGTCAACTTATTAATTTTACATAATTGCAAAAAATATTATTTGATTTAAAAATTATTTTTAATAGTGAACATAAATTACAAAGAAATATATGTAAGAATTGTTAAATGAAAGTATAAATATTATTTGTTCCAAAAAATAAAACACAATGAATACTTTATCATTATAATCTTTCAATTATGAAAAGATGTATTAATAAAATAATCATAAAATGTTTAAGCCCGCAAATGCGGGCAAAACACCTAGTATGAAATATAAACATATATTTTTAAAAGACTATCTCGTTCTAGGTCTTACAGCTTTTTTGTCGATAAAACATATAAAGCTAAAATAACAAAGAAAATATTAATTACAAAACAATATTTTTTGGAAATTATTAATGAAGCTTTTATATATAGTTCAGTTTTATAATTATTTTTTTAGATAAAATAATTAAGTCACTTTATGCTTTTTTCTATTTCATATTCAAACAAAATTAAAATATTTGAAAATTTAGTTTTAAAACTATTTTAGAGAATACATCCAAACTATTACCATCAACCACTCTAATTGTCATTATTCATTAATAATTATCAACATTTTTTTTTCTTAATAAATCCATGCTTTAATGGTAAACCCATGTGTTTTAATCATCCTAATTACCACAGTGCTTTGATGGTATAGTCTCATGTTTTTATAATTTTATTATGCTTATGATCTTTACATTAAATGATGCCCTTGATTTTTTTCAAAAGTTTGCTGCCATAAGCGAATGTTTCTATTTTTCTTACTGAGGCACGGGCCTGTTTCTCTGTATGTATTGATACATACATCTGAAATGTTATTTGCCTATTCAGGGATTTTAAGGCCATAGAAAATTTAGTGCTGGTTATATGGAGAAAGCAAATGATTGTTGTTGTTTCTCTGTATGTATTGATACATACATCTGAAATGTTATTTGCCTATTCAGGGATTTTAAGGCCATAGGCAATTTAGTGCTGGTTATATGGAGAAAGCAAATGCCCTCAACGTCTACAGGTACCCATTTATATCACTGGACTAGGCCTCTTGTTTTGGTGAACAAAATGAAATGGGAGTGAGAACATGAAACCCTTTATCAAGTGAATGAATGATAATACTTTGGTTTCTTCACACTTTGTGAACCAATGAAGTGATCCTTCTACATGTTCATATACAGGAGGGAGCTCATCAATAATCTCGCACGGGGATGCAGGAGTGACATACCTCCAAGCGTTGGTGCTAAAATCGAAAACTTTACATGTAGTAGTAACATTGTCAAAATCTTAAGGGTTATACAGCCAAACTGGTTTGTATGTGCCATTGAATAATATTTACTAAATCCATGCAAAGATAATGGGTATATACCCAATCTAGTCAAAGAGAAATGGTAGAAAGAGGGAGACATACCTTGTTGAAATTTGGATAGGGAAAGACTTCAATGCCATCTAGTACTTGGATTGATCACAATACATCAGGACATACTTTGAGATTTTGGGGCCATAACTATTTAGTAAAAACTTTAATAATTTCTTTTATGAATTTAGAGATCTAAATATATAGTAAATTACCTCTTAAACATTGGGGGCAACGATTGGCGCATCCAAGTGATGGAAGAGGCATACTAGACCATCACGACTACTAGAACGAACAAAACACTCCTTAATAGGTACTTAACTTGGGTAACTGATGATGATGATGATGATGGTATGTTTTTAGTATGATCAATCTTCAGCATCCTCATTAACAGATTTCTGACAACAGCCCAACTGTCGTTCTTAGAAATGCTTGTATTGTATCTCCATTGCTTGAATACTTGCGCGAATCTTATGAGACATATCACTGGAACCCTCTCATGTTGAACCCTTATAAGGAATATGAGACGTGTGTGCTGATAATATACATATATACAAATAAAGGCTCGATAAATAATAATATGGATTAAAGCAGGCTTTCAATGCTTAAATGCTTCCAAAGATCAGTCTGCAACTTGTTTGTCAAAATTTCTGGAGCAGCCTGAGGAAATTACATTTTGAACCAAATCATTCCTAGTAAACAGAATTACTGATGGTATATTATGTACATTTTTCTTAAAAACAAAAAAAAGATATATAAATAAAATAGTTAGATTTACTAAGAACTAAAATCGTATCGTTTAGAATTATTTGAGTTCATCTAATCAAGTATATTGTAGAATAAAAACACTAGAAATGATGTAAACAATTTTTAACATGGGAACCTGAGTAGTATTTTCTGTTTTACCAGGACCTGATTTGTTTTTTTTTTTGCCAGGACCTGATTGTTCTTTACATATTTAACTAAACATCTTATGCTCACTGTAACTTATTTATCGATTCTTTATAATCCAATTGGCG